TCGGTGTGACCCGTGTGTCAGTGTTGTACCCACAGCCCTTCACTCAAGGTGCCTTTTCACGRCCATCCTGCCTTCTGGAAGCAGGTTTTAGAATCTATTTCAGGAGCTGTATCCCAGGACTGCTGTTCCTGAGGGTTCCTGGGAGAGCCCAGGTGATTCTGGWACACCTGAGAGATCTGAAGCACAGCAAGACATGGGAAGAGGTGTCATCCACCCCATGAAGAACCCATGGAATTATTTAGGTTGGGAAAGCCCTCTGAGATCATTGAGACYAACCATTCCCTCTGCAGTGCCAAGGCCACCACTGACCCATGTCCCCAAGTRCCACATCCACACAGCTATTAAATGGTGACTTCCAGTGACAGGACAAAAGGAAACAGCCTCATGTTCTGCCAGGCAAGCTTAAGGTTGCATATTGGGAATATTCCTTCACGGAAAGGGTGGTCAGGCACTGGCACAGCTGCCCAGGGCAGTGGTGGAGTCACCATTCCTGAAGGGATTTAAAATCTGTGTGGATGTGGCACTTAGGGATAGGGGTCAGTGGTGGTTTTGGCAGTGCTGGGGGAACGGCTGGTCTCAGTGACCTCAGAGGGCTTTTCTAACCTTACTAATTCCATGGTTCTGTGTATGTCTGACAGTAAAGCTACCTGGGGGGTCTCTCAGAACCTGATTTTTAGCTTTAGGGTTTTTGGATGTGTATGGGTGAGACTGGACTGGCAGTGGGAGAGATGGATAGAGCCGCAAGTGCAGGAGAAGCTGGTCATGGACACTGGGGTGCAAGGACAGAGAGCAGTCCCTGATGCCACCCCCAGTCTTGGGCAAGAGCTTGGGGTTGAGCAGAGCTGGGAAGAGGTGACTCCAGGTCACCTCTGATGAYACCAAGAGGTGACATCAACTCAGTGAGGGGGAAGGAAAGAGAAATCAGGGATGGTGTCAGCAAGGAAATGCTGCTCTCTGGGAGAAGGGGATGGGAAGCGGAGCAAGGGTCGGCTGGGACTTGAGTTTGGTATCCAGTGGGAATGTGAGGGTCTAAGCTCACCCTGTGCCRTGGGCTTGGGGCTGTGCAGTGCTGSTGGTGGACCCCGGCCATGCCTGCCTCTGTTCATGGTGTGGRGGGAACAAATCCCTCCAGCTGTCACCTCATGGCTCCCTCTGCCCCTGGGGACAGTGCTCTCCACGTGGGGAGTGCCACTCAACCACCGAAGGTCTCTGACTCTTTGGCTGCCAGGGTTTTTTGGCTTTTCTGGCCAGGAATTTGTGAGCTTAGTAGGCTGTTGTGCTGGCAGCCCTGCAGGCAGGCTCTCCATGGCAACTCTCCCTATACACAAAGCACCATATGGCTTTTTTTGGAGGGGGAGGGAATGGATCCAGCAGAAAAGTCAACCTTTGTTTGTGGTGCTGGTTGTATTTGCGTTCGGTGGAGCGTGGGGAGGTGGCTCTTGGTCATGGCTGGTGCTGGCTGTGCCACCACGAGCGTGCAGGTGACCTCTCAGACAGCCTTTCCTTGATTTTTACTGTGGAATTTGCTGTGAAAATAAACCCATCCTAGCCAGCGATCCCCTCTTTGGGCTGGGCTCTCTTTACACAGAGGGAGCAACAARGATCCCGTTCATCCCCATCATGTTCATTCCCTGAAGCTCTGGGAAAGCTCCAGAGCCCTTGGTTTGGGCAGGAGCTGGGCAGGAGGAAGGTGAGGAATGGCAGGAGCTGCCTGTGCCTGTGCTCTGCCYACACTTCATCCTCTGATTCCAAAGGAAAGGCTTCACTTGCCTGCAAATCCTCYCTTTTCAAACCACTTTGGAAGCAATGAGGAGAATAAATATCTTTATCTGTGCCTGCAGAAGAGTAGGAAGTGTTTGTGTGTCTGCTTGGAGGGGGAGGAAAATGAAAAGATGTGGGAATAAGAAGGGAGCAGCCTGAGCCTTTGGGATGCTCCATGGTTCCAGGGCTGCTATGGGGTACCAGCAGCACCACTGGACATGGCGTGGGACTGACCACTGCCTGCACATGCTGGCTGGCAGGAGAGGTGGTGTCTGTCCCCTCTGGGTGAGGTGACACATGTTGCCTTCCAGAAGCATGGTTTGGGTTTGGTTTTGTCCCCAGATGTGGGGAAAGGTCCCTCCTGGTGGCACCCACTAGGTGCTCTTGTGGTACTKCAGTAACCAGGTCACTGTCCCCATCCCTTCCCTTCTGTCATCCTGGAGCTCAAATGCCACGACAGCATCTGGGATAACCSATGGGAAAACTCCTCCTGGCTGGAGGCTCAGGCTCACGGGTGGAGCTGCGCAGGTGGGGATGGCAGAGTGGGGGACATTTGAGGAGAGGGACAATGCCACYTTCMRATTRTGGAATCATTAAGGTTGGAAAAGACCTCCAAGGTCATYGAGTCCAGGATCCTTTGGTGCCAACCTCAATAGTCAGAGCAGGAGGTGGCCTTGCCCTGAGACACATTCCCAAGTGTATCCCAGGGCCTTGCTCTGGCTTCGCAGCTGGAAAAGAGCTTATAGCAGCACCACTGCTGGGCCATAGCGAGAGAGTGGGTGTTGAAGTCCTAAAGTGGGACCAAGAGTACCTTCCCCAGCTGCAGCCCTGACCCTGTTGGACGTGGCTGCTGGAAAAGCAGTTTGGGTTATTCCTGGGCTGGATTCACAGCCTCAGCTCCGGGAGCCTCAGGGCCAGGTGAAGGCAGGCTCCTTTTATGGTCCTACATGTTCAACTTCTCCCACCCCAGGGAACCCCTCGGGCTGGAGGCTCCTGTACCTCCTGGTGGCTGCGGTGTCTCCTGGGTCCCCACCCATGTCTGATTTAATGTTCAGCTGAGAGAGGCCCCRGGGATGGGGTTCAGGTGGGAGTTGTTGCTGCAGGCCTCAGCCCTTACTCCATCCTGTGCCCA